TTCCACTTCCCGTCCCAATCGCTAGTCTTTCTCCTGGGCTCACCTTCCTCCATAACTTTCAGTTTTCTTTGCCGAAGGCTGGGATTGCCCCGGTTACACAGAAAAAATCAAAAAGGAATCGCGAGGTCTGCTTTTCCCATTCTGTTTCCGTCCCTGATTTCTGTAGTTTAATGGGAATTATTACACAAAAGACAGAGGTGAAATAACATTTTTTTTAAGTGTGCTGAGATCGCATGCCTTCGAAGGCGGGATTTTGTTGTTCTTAAAGATGCGGTTCCAATAGGCTTATACCCACGCTCAATAGCTGACTTTTGTATGTGTTGTAAATAAAATATCACTCCGCAAATTTCACAGCCAGCAGCTTCTCCTGCCTACGTTTACACAGATGCCCCCACAATCATCAGAGGCAGCCAAAATATTGTGGACAGTTGACAGACAGTCGTTAAGTCTGGCTTCTTCACCGCTGACCGTCATTTCCGTACTAAATAGCTAAGTCCGATTTCTTAGTCTTGGAAAAACTCTGCTCTGGTAGAGCATATATTGGAAACTTCACATTTACTGTTTTAGCTCCACGCTGAAGTGGAAATCAACCTTAGGAACTGGTGACACACTCCACTCCCACAGTAAAAATAGCTTCTGGTTTGGCATAATGTGTTTCCTTTGGCTAAGGGGAAAGACTGGAGCCAACTAGCCTTGCACAGATTTTAAAAAGAACAGTGTTCATATTTTTGTACATATTACACTATTATATTTGCAATAAACTTTATAGAGAATGAGGCTCGAATAATCACATGGTACAAAAAGTTACTAACATTTTTCCTTTTTCTTGCTCCAAACTAGTGGTTATCATTTGAAAACAAGATTTAAAAAAAAATATTTCTACATCTAGCCAATTGAAAACATTACATATCACAGAGGGTGGATAGGGTGGTTCAGAGACTGGGTGATGTGAACTGGTTTGACTGACATAGATGGGATCAATCTTTCCATTGCCACTCTATTTTCAAGAATCCTAAAACCAAAGAGAGTGATAACAACTGTGACCATCTTTATAAAAACAACACTTTTTTTCCTTAATAGAAACACATAGTTCTAAGAATTACACTCGATGTAAGGAGAAGGCGAGAACCCTATTCTTAGAGTGGAGAAGATAAATTTTTAGTTAGTATTTTAAGTTAGAAAAGGGAAAGGAATGTAAGTTGGGAGTGTGTACAATCTGATATCTTCACATCTAGACCTCCATCAAGGGCACAAATTCAGTTCCTTCATTTGGAGTGTGCCAGACCCCATACAGTCACCCCTCAATGTCTTAAACAGCATCTGCTCTTAAGGCCGGGGCCTTCTCTCCGAAGCACTTCCTGGAAAGCAGTATGCTCAGGTACCAACTCCACCAGTACAGACTCAAAAGAGGCACAAGACACTGATTATGCTTTGCCCTTAAAACACCTTCTGGAAGGTTTGGGGGTTGGGTGAGGTATTTGGTGGTGTCCTCTTCTGTTGCCAGCCCTTTAAACATTGAGAAAACTTCACAATCAACAAATATAAATATCTAAATGCCAGGCCCATCAGCAAAGAAGGTTAGTGCTATTTTCATTGTCAGCTAAAGCCAAAAAAAAAAAAAAAAAAATGATAAGCAGATGGGGCAATTGAAAGGTTACATCTTTCTTTTGGAGGTGGTTTGCTTCTTAAAGGTTAACTTGAATGCTTGACTTTAAAAAATCAAAATCATCAGCTGCAAATGCTTAAAGCAGTTGGGGGTAGCTTCTGAAGAAGAAAACAAAGGATCTGAAATGTTTGAAAATTACTTAGCCCCCATATAAATGATGCTTGTATATTTATATGCTTGCTCTATAACTGTACACACACATACCACAACTCATTTCTCAAATATGATTGCTGTACTCAGGCATTTTCTGTTGACACAATATAATGTTTTTAATAACTTGTTAGCTGTTCTAATCATTTGATAGTATCCAGAATACAATGCAGTCACAATATGAACCAGGATGGCTTTCTGCCTAAATCAAAATCTACAGCTACACACAGAAACCAGCCATTTGCAGCATCTTCAGCTCCTGCTAAATAGAGTCTAACAATATATTTCGCTGTTCACATTCATGTATTTCAAAACCTAATAGCCCATGAAGAAAAGTATGAAGAATACATCTCAAGAAGCAGACATTAAAGGTACCAGCAAAATAATAGACTACATTTAAGTTTGAAGCATTATTTTAGGCGTCTTACATTAATGACTTTTTCTTTGTGGTGGGTGTTAGAGGAGACAATGCTGAAGGGGGGTTGGTGTAAGTGTTGGCTTCTGTTATAAAAGTTACTTTGCTGTGAATGAGAGTATACACAAATACAGTACTCCTCAAATGGATTTTTAAAAATTGATATCCAAGGTCTAAATAAATATTTGAAATATGAAGTATTTTGAAGTAAACATTTACCCCTAAAATTTTGTTTGAAATATCCTACTTAAATCATATATCACAGTGTGCTTAATTATTATACTCTGATATTAAAGCAAAAGAATCATCAAGTACAAAATGAATAATGAGACATTTATATCCCAAATTCAAAGTAAACTACCTTTAAGAATGGTCGAAGAAAAGATAAACTCATCATTCACTATTTTCTTATATGCAATAGCAAAATTATAAAGTGCTGTTATTATAATTATCATTGTCACACTCATATCAGGTTTCCAGACAAACTGATCACTGATGAAAAGGGAAAGGATTATTCACTGACATGTTATCTTTCTTAAAGGCAGGAGCTACCTTTATTTATCACTTTTTAACTTTAGGGCCCAATGTCTGGAGTCACTTCAAATACCACAGTGTGAATTTCAAACCTCCAAAGTTAACTGGGGCCAGCTTTTGGTCTCACAAATTTTTGGAGCTGGCAGCAATTTCTGCTTAGGTGTTCAACTTGCTTAAATCTCACCAAATCTTGCAAGGTGGCGCTCTTTTCATCAAAGACCAATATTACTGTTATAATCAGAATAACATTTTTTAAGAGTTAAAACCACCATTCCCAGTTTTTGATGTGCTATGGGAAGTGCAGCAAATGACTTATTCAGTAAATGAGACTTTGTTGACTAAAGGTGACAAATACTAACAGCAAGCAATGAAAGGAAGAAGTCAACAAAGGCTTCTTAAAAGAGAACTTAACATTTTTATTTTGTAACTGGTCAGTGGCATGATCTGAGAAATCCATACCACTTTAAAACAGATGTGAATCTCTTAAGGCATTCTCATACTTTGAGAGGTTTTCCCTCTTATTTTCCTTCTGAGAATCAGCATGGCCTACGCTTTCCTGAAAACAGAGTATATTACAAAAGCAGGTCCACATGCCTGCTTGCTCACAGTGAGGTCAGCTTCTGCTGCCCGATTTGACACATCCACACCCTTGCAGCTACAAACCAAGGGCCTGATTTGTGATCTTCGGTCTGCCTAATGGGGCGATCATGCAAGCTACAACCAGAGACAAAGAAGCCCGCGTTCCTATCAGTACAGCTAACTTCGCAGAAGCAGCATAGCTTGCAAATCTATCAAACTAAACTGCAAGAAAGACAATCTGATTTAGAGAAAAGGCGTTCTGCTACAGTCATTAAGCACAAGTAATTTAGATTTTTTATATTGTCTCCTCATTTACAAATTTACTGTATCAACGCCAGCCAATGGAACGAATTTCTTAAGTAAATGAGAAATAAATAAAGAGATAGAAAGATAATCAAATTACATAAAATAATTCTCTTCCCTAGATGTATTTTTTGAGAGAACTAATAACAGTGGCAAAATTATAGGAATAATAACATATCACAGGAAGTAATTAATTTAAATTAGCATCACGTTTGAAGAAATATAAGTGAAACGCTTTATGGACGTTTACTTTTGTACAAAGAAGGAAGGCCTGGTAAAGCATGCATCGACATCCTGAAAATTAGTTATGGCCATAAATGGTTTAATTGAAGACAGCAGTTTAAAATATGATATTGTAAATCTGCAACTCCGTTTCAGCCCAGAGAATTTAATTTGGGGGGCAGCGGAACCCTCCGCTGTAAGTTCATTTGCAACGCTGCAGAGCGAGCCCCTGAGCTTCTGACAATTCGCCTACATTAATATTGATGTCGCCTGTGCAATCTATTTCTGTTATTTTTATGGTTGTTATTCTATGTCTGCAAAGGTCATTTAAATTATACTGCGGCCGAAAATTTGTTTCATAAATTTTGATATAAATACTAATTACACCCTCTCGGAGAGCCAGCAGGGTAGCGTTCATTTATCACGTTTATACGACCTGCAATGACAGAAAGGGAAGGCAAGGGAGACTGTAGAGCTGTTCCCGAGATCCAGTAAGACTGGCAGGAGAGGCAGCAGGTTGCTGGAGGGTGAAGAAGAAATTCCTACCACAATGACTGAGATTTAAGAATCTTTAATAAGGTACGAAAGGTTACCAAACAGTTCTGGAAACTAAAGTGTACATACGAGTTCTTCTAGCCATAAATATTGAATAGCTGTAACATGGATAAACCGGCCCTTTACATGCGGATAAATATGGAAACTAGGAATTATATACATTATGTGGTTGTATCTTTCGCCAAAAGCCACGGACAGTAATAGTTTATATCTTTTTTTAATATCACTTTACATAAACAAATGGAACAGTTTGACACGCAGATCCAGGCTCGTACTATACGAATTCTTGACAGGACGTGAAACAACATTTTACTGCACTAAAGTACTTAGACTTTGGGACGAAATGTTTGCACTTTATACAAAAAAAAGCACGTTAATACCAACCATATTCTGTTAGGTCGACGTGGAGACTGTAATCGTACAAAGTAATTCACATTTTGGTACACATTTACTAGAACATTCTTGCCATTCAGTACAAACAGTTGGCTTTCGGCCGCCCACGCCCTCCCCCTCCCCCCACCCGCCCGGCCCCTCCCCCCTCCCTCAATGCAAAGACCACAACGCCACGATCCCACCCGCCCGCTCCAACCGAGATATAACTATTTACAGAATCCAACAGTACAGTTTTAAGCTAATAATTCTGTATTTACAAGAAAGCAAAGCCAAAAAAAAAAAAAAAAAAAAAAAAAAGGCCCGAAGCCCCCCCGAGAGCCGCGGTTCCAATACGACCAGACACCGGCCCTGGGGGCTGGCGGCATTTGGTCAGGCGACCGCCGCCTCCTCGACCCCCTCCGGTCCCCCCGCTACCCAGCCGCTGCCAACACAAGGAAAAGAAAGAAAGTGAAAGGAAATTTTTAAAAAGGCTCGACGCTTCCTCTCTCAGTCCTGGGTCTACTGGCAGATTTTAAAAAACACAGGCTGGCGGGGTCTGTTGGGGGCGGGGGGAGCTGTGTGGTTCCCAGGGTTCTTTCGGTCATAGTGTGGCTACGAGTGTGTTCAGTCTCTTAAATAGGGTTTTGTTCGGTGTTTTGTTTCTGGTTTTAAACGTACCATTCGTTAAAATTGGAAGAGAGCGCGCTGTGGCCGGCCGTGTGGTGCACCGCCGAGGAGGAAGGCGACAGGGAGCTGGTGGTTGGGTTGTCTGTGGAGGGAGACACAATGGTGGGCGGCGTGGAGGACTCGTAGCCCGAGCTGGCTGCCGGCGACGGCTGCGAGCCCTGCGAGGACGATTCGTGGACCTGCGGGAATAAAGTCGAGTTTTTACGGAGATAAAACGCCAGCGCGGCGGCCGCCCGGGGCGCAGTGAACTCGGCCGCGCGCCCCTCTCCTCCCGGCGCCCCGGATCCCCGGAGGCCCAGCCGGCGGGACTGGGGCTCGCTGCCCCCCTCCCTAAGTCAGGCCGAGGCCGCACACTCCGGGGACGGACCGAGCTCCTGGGACTCAACCAAGGCAAAAAAAAATAAAGTAGGTCTGGGAAGCGGGAGGCTGGGGTCTGGGACGATTCCCTCCCTCAACTTTGCCTGCCCAGGTTTAGGAGAACAGATTCTTCAGGCTTGTGTGCAGAGCGCTCCCCAGCTCTTCAGGCCCCGGGCTGCCAGCCCCAGTCCGCAAACCTCACTCGAGCTGCCTACAACCTGCCTCCCTAGCTCTTGGCCAAATTCTGTTGATCCCTTTACTCCAACGCTCACTTCTTTTTTGCATTTATTAGGAAACCGTGGGTTTAAAAAGGCCTTGGGAGTCCCCCATGCCTTTTTCCAAGCTCCTGCCCTGTGTGTCCAGCGCCACTCAACAGAGCGGAACCGCAGGCTCCCCGCCTCCTCTGGCTCCTGTTGCCCGCGCCCGGCTACCGCTCGCCGCCGCCTGACCCCGGCCTGAGAGCCCAGAGGGCTCCGGCCTCGAAGGCGGGCGGCGAGAGCGGGGCGATTACCTTCATGTGTTTGCGCAGTGAGCTCGGGTGCGTGTAGGACTTGTCACACATCTTGCAGAGATAGGGCTTGTCGCTCGTATGCACGTGCATGTGCTTCTTGCGGTCGCTGCTGTTGGCGAAGCGCCGGTCGCAGCCCTCGAACTCGCACTTGAAGGGCTTCTCCCCTGGTGCGAAAAGGCGAGAAAGAGAGGCGTGCCGATTAGAGCAAATCCCTTGGCCTTTGCAAAAAAAAAAAAAAAAAAAATACACACACACACAGAGACACACACACAACACACACACAACACACACACATACACACACACTCAACCAAGCGGAAGGAGTCAAGCCAAATTAAAAAGCCACGGTACAGGATGACCAACTTGACAAACCCAGGACTTCGGTACAGTCATAGACCTTTATAAATATTTTTAAACTATTTTAATTCCAAATGCAACTAGATCTACAGTTTATTTTAAGGGCTGTTTGCGGTGGTTGTTTTTTAATCATTAATAATAATAAGTTTGTTTAGATCTTAGAGTTGCAGGAGGTCTGGATGCTGTGTTTTCTGCCCAGGACAAGGGGTTGCTTCTTCCTAGCTCTAGTTGTTGTGTCCAGGTTTGAGTCTCCAGCTGTTTTGCCCCTCTCTCCTTCCCCCCACTCCCAACATGCACTCACATTTTATAACGTAATTTAGGACAGAGGTGGGGGGTAGTAGTGATGATGGGGAGCTCAATGCCACAAGTGCTTCCCTGATACAATAAACCCCAAGTTCCCAGTGTGGTTCTCATGCATCACCCAAGAAAATCAGAATAGCAAAGGAGTCCAGAATCTCGGGCCTTGTGGGCCTTGAAAGGCCCAGAATGCCCTACCTGACCCTACCCTGCAGCCTTGAACTCTGAGAACTTTTTTTTTTAAGATATCCTTATAAATATTATCACTGCCTACTTGATTTTTCAAGGCCAGCTCTGGCTACCCAAGATTTAGAAAACCACCTGGCAGAATTTAATTGACCAAAAGGACTGCCAGGCCTTCTGCTGAGCCCCCCACCCCCACTCCCAAAGACCCCCTTTCAGACCAGGCACTAGAATTGGCTCATCAAATATTTATAAAGCCCCCAAAGCCTTCTCAGTCCCAAATTACTTCCTCCCCTCCCCAACCCTTTTTTGTTTATTCCTTTCTGGTTTGTTCTTTTCTACACCCCCTAACCCTGTCCCCTCCGTGCCCTCAGCCCCTTCTTTTGGGAAAGTGCATGCAGAGGGATGCTGGCCCCAGCAGCTATTCGATTTGTCCGCATCTGGAGTGGCTGGCTCCTCCGTCGCCAGCCACCTCTCCTGGTTTTCCAGCACCCTAAGGTTCCACCAACCCTGGCTTGGCTTTTCATTTCTCTCGGACCTTTATATTCCTCATGTTAAAAAATCTGTATCCCCAAATCCTTGTCCTCTGCTCGCTCTCTCTCACTCGCTCTCTCTGGTTTTCCATAATTTCAAGCTCCAGGCTAAACATCAGCGCACACTTGGCTGAACCTGACCCCCGGACGCCCCTGAGGCTGAGATTCTGCCGCCAGGCCTCCGACTTTTCGGATTTGGGGTCCCAGGCCAGGGATGGGGACTGGGGTGGGAGTGGAGGGTAGGGTCGTACAGCGTTTTCCGTACCTGTGTGCGTCCTTTTGTGGATCTTTAAGTTCTCGGAGCGCGCGAAGACCTTGCCGCAGCCAGGGAAGGGGCAGGGGAAGGGTTTCTCGCCCGTGTGCACGCGGATGTGGTTGACCAGTTTGTATTTGGCTTTGAAGGGCTTGCCCTCGCGCGGACACTCCTCCCAGAAGCAGATGTGGTTACTCTGCTCCGGGCCGCCGACGTGCTCCACGGTGACGTGCGTGACCAGCTCGTGCATGGTGCTGAAAGTTTTGTTGCACGACTTTTTGGGGTTGGCCAGCTGCTCCGGCTCGATCCACTTACAGATGAGCTCTTGCTTGATGGGTTGGCGCATATAGCGGAAGAAGGCGCCGGCGCCGTGATGCGCGGCCATGTTCACGTTCATGGGCCCATAGCCGTGCAGCTGTGGCGCGGCGTAGTGCTCGGAGCGCGGGCTAGTCACCTGGCCGTACTGCTCGGGCCGCGGGTACATGTCCCCCGAGAAGCCGAGCCGCATCTGCCCGTTGACCACGTTGGGCGACGCGTGGCCGGCCGCCTGCTCGTGAAGCCCCGGGAAAAGGAGGTGGCCCGCGGCGTCCGTGTGGCCGTGTGGGCCCCCGAAGCCTCCGGCCGAAGCGGCGAAGAGGCTGTGCTGTGCGCTGGCCGCCGCAGCTGCGTCGCCGAAGCCCCGGTTGCGGAACAGAAAGTCCCGCGTGGAGTTGAAAGCTGCGCTGGAATAGGAGCCGACGTGGCCAGGGTGGTGGTGATGGCCCAGGGCCGCTGCAGCCGCGTAGCCGGGCGCCTGCGACGTGAAGGCCGTCTGGCCGGCCGAGGCCAGCTCGTGCGAACTGGGGTTCAGCTTGAAGGCGCCCATGCCGTCGGCGAACGGGTTGATGCCCAGGCCCACGTCTCGCTCGGCCACGTCGCCCGCCGAGTGGTGGCGGGACGCACCAAAGGTGGTCACACCGATCGCAGGATACTGGGGGCCGGCGTCCAGGAGCATCGTGGCTGCTCGGGGCGAGCCCCGGCCTCCCCCGCCCCCCCCACCCTCGCCCGCCGAGGAGGGAAAACAGGGAGGAGGAGGAGGAGGAGGACCGGGAGGCGGAGGAAGAGGAGGAAGAAGAGGAGGAGGGAGGGGGAGTCCACCCACCTCGCGAAGTCTTAGCCTGCAGGCAGCGGTGCGGCGCGCCCCGGCGCCCGCCGGGCGGAGCGCGGGGAAGCCGGACGGCTGTGGGCCGCGAGTGCGGCGGTATCCAGCCTCCGCCGCGCAAACCCCGCTGGCCCGGCTCGCAATTTCTCGTCGCTCAGTCTCTGCCGTGAGGGCCCCGCGTCAAGGCTGCCCGGGGAAAGGCATGGAGCATCTCAGCCCCCCAAAAAACTTCCTCCCGGATTTGTAGCATAGAGGAATGTGCGCGCCGGAGCCGCGACTGCTCGCCCTGCCTCCGCCGCGCGCCCCTCCTCACTTCTCCACCAGCCCCTCGCCCTTTCTTTCCTCTCTCGCTCCTTTCGCTCAGGCTCGCCTCCTCGCTCTTTCACTCTCCTTTTTTTTCCACCCCCCCCTCTGCTTTTTTTTGCAGAAAAAAAAGAAAAAGAAAAGAAAGAAAAAGAAAAGAAAAAAGAAAGAAAATAAAAGATGGGGGTAGAAGAAAGAAAGAAAAAGCCAAAGAAAAGGCGCAAATCATGCACAATATTGTCTTTTGCGGTTTATCTTCCTGGGGAGAAACTTTCACCTCCTCAGCCGGGCGGTGAGCGCGAGACTGATAGCAGCAATCATTCCTGCAGATAAATGAATTGAAAGGACGACACCGTCCCCCCCTTGATGAATGGGAGCAGGGGGAGGCGTCACGTGCTGCCGACGCGGACGCCCATTGGTGTGCCCGCACTCCCCCCGCGCGCGGCCGCCGCGCCAACGGAGGGCGCGCAGAGGCGCCGCGCGCCGCTCATTGGCCCGCCCGCCTCATCAATCCCAGGTATTGTAAAGCTCTTGACATCCCCTTTTGACAAACAGGGCTGCCAGGAGTAGCAACTTTTTTTTTTTTTTTAGCCAAATTTTTTCCCTCTTCTCACGGAAATTTTTTTCCCGGGTTTCTTTTCCTTCTCGTAGTCATATACATCTCTTCCCCGTCTTCCTTCTCTCTCTCTCTCTCTCTCTCTCTCTCTCTCTCTCTCTCTTTCCCTCCCTCTCTCCCGCAAACGCAGCCCGGCTCCTGGATGAGTGGCGAGAGACTTCGCGCGTCTAGGAGAGCAGGAGGCGGGGATGGGGCTGGCGGCCGCAGCAAAGGCACTTCCAGAATGTCCCGATTCAGCAACTTTCTTTTCTTTTCTTCCCCCCTCTTTCCCCCTTCCAAGGGCAGCCAGGGAAGCTTTTGTTGTTTGCTCCTTTTGAAGTTTGCTTTCCTCTTGCCCGGTCCCCTCCGGTTTATGGTGTAAGGTCTCCGGAGCACACGGACACTCCGTTCTCTGGACTAGAGATGTGATTTCTCGGGGTAACCAGTGGCCTCAAGGTTTCTCACTGGTGTCCCATAGGTTAGACTTTCTCCGCGCCCTTCTTCACCCCCTCCCCCAGCAAACGCAGGTGCATGGGAGTTCTTAACTTTCCAGTTACTAAGGTCGGTGGGTTGTTTTTAAAAGGCAAACTGGAAGCGTCATAGCCGGTTTTCTCCCCCCCTCCCCCCCACCCCGCTCTCGTGTCTTCTCTCCCTTTTTCTTTTCTCCCCTGGCTGCCCCCGCCACCCCCCTCTGTCTGCACCCCTGTTCCCAACGCTGGCCCCTTTCATTCAGGTAAAACTGTAAATTTCCCGACACGCCATTGTTCCTCTGGGCTGCCCAAAGCTCCCTAGAGATCCCCGAATACTTTTTTTTTTTTTTTTGGTATTTAAATCCCGGATAGATAGGACCAATGTAAATTTTGTGACATTCAAACCTTTTCTAGTTCACAAATCAGTCACCCTTGTCACAGTTATTGAAATTCCGCAACTCGCCACACCAGGACGGTGGAAAAAGCGGGCGCGGTCTTTGTTGCCGACCAGGCTTTTGATCGCCAGAGAAAATTTACTTACCTTCAGATGAGTGAGCAGAAAAAGAAATAACACTCCCTTTGATTTAGTTAGGAAAATGCAGACATTTGGATTCAGTGCAAACATACAACACTCGCTTGTTTTCGCGATGCGGCCCTCGATTAACCTGTCTTTGCCCAGCGCAAAGTCTATTCAACAACTGCGCGTAGTTGCTTTTTGTCCTGTCCACAAAGAGCCATTGACTATATATTAAAATGATTGTTGAAAGGTAGAGGACTATGGCACTTAAAAGCAGGCAAAAAAAAAAAAAATCCCTGTGACTCAATCAATTAAGCGGAGCAACATTTATGCATTTCAAAAAATGCACACGGATGCGGGGGGGTTGGGGGATGAAGGTTGCATTTCTCCGCAGCTCTGTTTAAAACCCAGCAGCCGGGCCGAGGGTTTAGCCCAAGTGCCTGCATATTCATTAGGTCTAATTATTTTCTAGTAAGGAAAACACAAAAAGCCAAGAGTCGGAATCCTTCAATTTGCCCTTTGTTTCTAACTTCATTTGGCTTCTTTGCAGCTGAATCAGAGCCCTAAACTCTTTTTCCAGACAAAGAAACCTCAACTCATCCTTTCACAGGCGCCCCGTTAGGAAACTCACCAGTGCCCCGGGGAGAGGAAAATGAAAATGATTTTTTTTTTTTTTTTTTTTTTGCCCAGTCGCTAGTGCTGGCCGCACTGGCTGAGGAAGGCAGGGTCTGCGGCGGCAGCTCCTCGAGTTTCAGGTTTTCTGCTCTTCTCACCGATTAAATTCTCTTTTGGGGTTGGCGAGATGGGCCATCTTTTCCCTGAGCCCTCCAGACTCAGAAGTCGGCTTGTGCACCCGGGATGGTTTCCCGGTGTCAGGACCTTGCAGAGCACTTATGCTTGTGCTGGGAAATAGAAATTCGAGATGGGGAAAAAAAAAGAAAAGAAAATCAAATCAAATCAAATATTCTGTCCCCAGCAACAAGTCCGAGTCCAGCAGCTCAGCAGTTCAGCATTCCCCACCAACTTTGAGTGGAATGGAGTGAGGTGTGGAGGGAAAAGGCTGGGGCTTGAGGTTGTTTTTTTTTTTTTAACTATTGCACACTTTGTAAAAAAAAAAAGATATATCTGAGCCTCTCGTTTTTTCTGTCACCTACAAGGGGAAGTTGAACCTCACTTCCTTCCCTGGGAGTTGTAAAAGTCCTATCTGCAGAGAAGTTTTCTCTAGAGACTTACTGCTCTCACGGGGGTGAACAAATATTGAAAACCCACCTCGCCTGCCTTTCAAAAAAAAAAAAAAAAAACAAGGGAGGGGACCTGAGGGGGAAGGGCAGCCGTTGGGAGGGGGAGAGGGAAAAATAATTCTTCAAAAAAGAAAAGTCAGTCTTCTCCTCTCCAGTCCGTGGAAAAGCCAACGGGGATATTGACAAGAGGGTATTTTTAGGAAATACATCCAAATATACAAGGCAAGAGTGAATGTAAGGAGGAAAAAAAAAAAAGTTGTGGGTTGTAGAAGTTATCAAGTGGGATTTGCGGCGCTCTCTGCAGGAAACGCGAGCGGCTCCAGTTCAAAGCCACATGCACCAACGTGACATATAAGCCATTAAAATATCATCCTGACGGCTCATTTCTGCTTCATCATACATTCCCTAACTGCTTCCCGAAAGCTGGAAAAGGAGAAATGAAGGATGACCGCCTCGATGGAACCACAAAAGAGAGGCTTGCAGGGGTTTGTGGTCCCCCCTCGGCCACCCCGAAGTGATATGCAGAAATGAGGCGATCCGGGCAACAGGTGGAGCGGGGTAAGTGCCTGAGTCCAGGGGGCAAATAGAGGAAACCTGTCCCCACAACAGCCGGGTCGCAGGCGCCCTTACGGGGGCTACTAGCACCCAAGCCCCGCTGGGGGAAGAGGCCCAGCCGGACTTTTCCCCCGTCTCTCCTTTCATTGCCCCCCCCCCATGGATACAGGCCCCACCCCACTGCCACAAAGGGGAGGGGGGGACCCTTCCACGGAAGGGCCATGTTGAGGATGAGCCCATCCCTTCTACCCTGGAGGAGGAGGGAACAAGGGGGACAAATGGAGCTCCCACTGGCACGGGGACCAAGAGCAGCTTGTTGCCCTCCTGCCTTCCCTCCCTTCCTTGTAAATTGCCTGGGTGCCTCACAGTGGGCACGAGAAGGGGATATCACGGCCTGGAGCTTTTTCTCTAGGGGAGTGAGCAAGGGCAGGTGCAGGGAGGGGACCCCGTGTAGGCAGCTTCTCCACCCTGCCCCCACAGGGCTAGTGCGGAGCTTCTCGGCTTCTCCTGCCCAGGGTCAAAGAGCCAAATTAGCCAGGCTGAATGCAACGTGATAGAACTTCTTCGCGCTAACCTAACTGCAGATGCCGGCTGGGTCCGCCTTCGGGGCCGGCTTCTTGCCCTCGCTCGTCCAGGCGCTGCCTCAGGACACTGACCGCTGAATTGGCTCTCTGTGCGCGGCCAGCCACGGGTTTGGGACTTGGCTTCTTTTCTCCTGAATGCGACTGAGGAGCAGGCCTCAGCCCCCAGGACTCTGGCCACTATCTTAGGTGCGGGAGCACTGGAAATTAGAGACAAGTAAGGAGGAAATAGGGTTGTTGTGAAAAAATAGCTAACACTGGCTCAAAGGCTGGGCCTGAAAGTTTGAAGTTGATGAATGGAACATAGGAACAGTTGGCAGCTAGTGAATTTTAGGAATGGAGAGGAGGGTGTAGGAGGGCTGCACTGCCACGGGCACCAACTTCATAGGGAACTCTTTTTGGATTCCAAGGTCGTATTTCTCCCTAGCAGCATTGGCATGGAAGCTACATATATCCCTGCCCCGGTTTCCCTGTTGGTCTCAGTCTCATGCAGATTGAGGGAGGAAGCTTAAAGGGAGTAAATGTCTAGTCTGCAGGTCCCCTCAGCTCGGAGGTTGCCCAGCCATCAGCCCGCAGCAGCGGGAACCCAGGTTCCTCCCTCTAGGGAGCGGGACAATGAGGACCCAATCTCTCAGCTCAACTTCCTGGCGTATCAGGGCCACATAGAGAGAGGGGAGATAGAGAGGTACAGGGTGGGGTTGCAGCTGGAGGTGGCAGTGGGCAAAAGCTGAAGCCGGTCTCCTATGGCTGGGGAAGTCGCAGTCAGCCTCTAGGGCCTTTGCCGTGTTCTCGCCAGGCCCAAGCTCCCTCAGAGGGGCAGGCGAGCCATCTCTGCCTAGTTTGCCGATTCATCAGAGTGGAGTAACTCTGAAACTGAAGACCCCGCCTGAGGCTGACCTCTGACCTGGGGCAGGCCTGCTGGCTAGGTCGACCTCACAATGCGCAACCTTCCCCAGCCCCCCCCCCCCCCCAAAAAAAAAAAAAAAAAAACGGTACCCACTGCCCCACCTTCTTGGTTCTCAGCCGGAGGGCACTATCAGTCACTGGGGCTCCCCGGCACCCTTTCCTGTCTTCTCAAGGTGCTGGAAGGAAGGCAGATTCCAAGTATCCAGGATATGCTTCCGACTGGTGATCTGATGGCTTGCTGGTGTGGGGAGATGTTTCAGGAACAAGTATTTGGGGGAAACCAAAAGCCGAGCTGTGTTGGAAGTGCCAATATCCAGGGCTGGTGGAGACCTCAGGTCCAGGGAGTGTGCCCAAATTCTTCACCCCTGTTTCAGCAGAATAACTGGCATGCTAAGTGGTGTCAGAGTTTGAAGCAAAGAGGTGTACCTTGGTTCCCTGCACAGGCCGTGTGATAGAGCTGCTGCAGAGAACCTCTTGGGGTCCCTGTTGCTTGCCTTAGCCCGACCTCTGCAATATTTGTTTGCACGCCTGTGGGTTGGTAACACACAAAGGACTGACAAGACCTGGAGGCTGGAGTGACCCAGACCTCTTAGAAGTTGTGCTGGGGCGGCACCGTGGGTGGACAGAGGTCCCTGGGGAACCTCACACCCATTTCCTCAGAAGCAAAAAAGTAAATTCTATTATTGCCAACCAACCAGGACTTTTCCGTGCCAGACATCCTGCCATGAGGAAATTTCAGAGCGAGGACGCCCAGCATGCCGCCCTTCTGTAGGAATGCAAAGTTGGGCCTCCTTTCTTTCCTGATTTGTGCTGGAAGGAGCTTATTACCTTTGGGGAAGGATGCCTTTTGGTTAGAAAGAATTGAAAATATATAAAATCCTCTGGGAAAAGGTGAGTCTACCCCCGTCCCCAGGCTTGGCCTTGCAAAAGAAAGGGAGAGGGAAGGATGAAAATGGCGAAGTTAGTTGAACTCCAGGTTGGGGGTTGTGGTGGTGGGGAGAGACAGAGAAATCTTTGAGCCTACAGAATTGGATATCCTTTGAGATAGCAGAGCCCCACTTGGGTTTAGCCTGTGGTTCAACAAGTTAAACAACCGCTTGTTTTGTGGACTGGAGTGTCAAGATAGGCAGACCTTCTCATTGACAGAGGGCTTGCTGTGTTTGTCCAGCCTGAGACCTTTTCAATGACTGTTTGTCTTTCTAGGCCAAATTGAGGGTTGGGCTGGGTGGATTGCCTCTGTTTGGCTGTTCCACTGCCTTCCGCCTCTGTCTGACAGATGCAGAGCTCCCTAGGATGAGTTTAAGGACTTGAGAAGCCAAAGGCTGGGCAGCTCTAACCACAAAGTAAATCTGCTAAGTAATGCATGTATCCTAGGAAGGTGCTGCTTCTAACCTTCTCAACTATGAAATGGAGTCAGACTGGATCAGAGGATAACTATGATACCTTTTTATTAGGCAAATTTTATATTAATTTTGAAAAATCAATCAGGGATGGCTCCCAAAGAGGTTAGGGGTTTGGGTCATGTGAGACTAAGGGATTTCAAATCACCACAAGCAGACCAGGATCTGAAAATCTATCAAAAAAAAAAAAAAAAAAACAAGAACAATTTCTCACAACCTCCCAGAAAACAGTGGGCCTTCCCCCATCATACTTCACTAAATCCAATTAATAATCTTGGAAAAATAGCAGGGCTTTTCATATAATAAATTAAAATTCTAGAAGTTAGAGACTTTTGAACACTGACTGAAATGGTATTTATTCTATCTGAAAGGCAGACCAACAAATGAATTTCAGGTAACAGTCTAGTTGAAAAATTAAGATTTTTCAATTTTTTTAATCACCAAAAATATATTGTTTTGCAGAGTGCTTTTTTTAGCTTCCAAATTTTAAAATTATCAAAAAAAAAAAAAAACCTACCCTATTTAAACCAAAATCTTTCACTGATACAATCGTATCACGGATTCTTGCCACACCAACATGTATGAAACTGTTTAGCTAATGGTTCTCTCTTTTTCCCCCAAATAGGCTCAACGACAGAAAATGAGATACAAGACTTCTTTGGTGATGAGGAAACGATTACGACTTTACCGAAATTCCCTGAAAGAGTCAAGTAAGTTAAAGTTCTCTTTTGAATACTGATTTGCTGAAGTTTTTTGGGTGTGTGTGTGTGACATAGATGTTTTGTTTTGTATTTTGGTTATACTGAGTAGTGGGTAAAGGGTATTTCTTGAGTTCAAATGAAACTTAGAACAACACCTTGGTGTGTGATGCATTTGCACACAAATCAACGACACAACATCCCACCAGCAGCTTGGCTAATCCCCCTCAATGCCTACTCATCTGGACGTTCTAGAATTAATATTTGACGACTCTCTCATTGAAACAACCACCCCTGACCTTCTGCAATTCCACTGTCACATTATTCTATGACATATTCATCTTGAATTCATTTCCGGACGATTTGATTGGAATGAGGTTTGACATGTATTGGCTTCCATGAAAGAAGCAGACTTTGATCTTGGTGATGGGGTTTACATGATATGCATCATCTTTACCAGGGACACCAGCCTTTTGCAATGTGGCAGCAACGACATTCCCACAATGTGGTGCCTGAACAGAGAGTGACTGACAGCCACTCTGTCAGGAATACCTTCATTGTGAAGAATTTAATTTAATATTCCATTTAGAATAAGCATATGATTTAGGGTTGGGTGTTTTCCCTTCCAGGCGTCAAGTTTCTCTTGTTTCAACTACACCACTAGCTGATGATTGCCTCCAAAGATGTTTCCCTATTGGAAGGCAAAGCAATATTCTCAACAAAAGTTAAGGGGACAACTCAGGAAATGACTCTTTTCTATTATTTTGGGTTGATTTGATGGCAAAAGTCTCAAGAGAGATGTAGCTATTATGTAAATTCAATTGTTTTGATTCCGTAATACTGTTTTGGAAGATCCTTTGCAATGTTTCCTAATCTTTTGTTGAAAGACATTTTCCAGAAACCTTGCATGGAAATTAAATTCTATCCAAGAATATTTCTTCTGTACCCAGTCCCATTAATGATAATTAAAGCTGAAATTTCCATAGCAGAGGAGGGGGGAAAGTCCTCTATTTTTTTTTTTTTTTATCCTGGATCTTGATAGATCTCATCTCCTTTACACAATTTGGGCTTGGACTTATGGGCAGCCTCCTGGGGCTTAAGTTATTTCTTTTCATAAGACTAGAGACGACCTCCCACTGCAGGAATCCTGAAGAATGTCTGTGAATAGCCTCTCAAGCAATGTGCCCCTTTTGGGTGGCAACCTGGCCAGAAATAGGTAAGAGAGAACTGAACAAGTGACTGCAGATCTAGATGCAGAACGTCCAGATGACAGAGCTTATGCTTGGCCAAGCTTCTGTGCAGCTTCTCTCAGTCTTTGAGATTCTGCTCTGCATGCAACCTGCAACAGATAATCATTTAGCATTGCTTAAAAGATCAAAATGGGAAAAAAGCTGAGCTATTGATCCAAAATCGTCTGTATTTTTTTTTCTTTCCAAGGGAGAGAAATCAGACATTTGAGCCAGTGATATGAGACATCCTAGCAGACTGTAGAACCACCACACACTCTGTTTCTAGAAAGTAAGACTTAAAAAAAATTCTATGCATTGGTCTGTTTGGGGCTAGCAAAAATACTCAGGGCATGATTCTGAGCACTGGTTTGCATAGGGTCTAGAGACAGAAATGTTGAGGTTCTGGTAGAATTGGTTCCAAATAGGCCCCCATGAAAGCCTCCAGTCCTTCTTTCTAACATCTGCTAAAGACCTCCTTTTCTCTGAAAACTAAGCAAGAAAGAGAACTGAACAATGCTGTAACTCTGAACATGGTTAGAAACTGAATTCCATAGCCAAGCATTTGGTATTGGGGGGGAGGGGGGCAAGTGTGGTTAAGAAAGTTTCTGAAAGGAAACTTATGAGGACCACTGATGGGACAACACTTCAACCCACCCAGTCAGTAGTCTCTGAAACCTGAGCTCCTTGCTTCCACACTTCAAAGCAATCCCTCTTGGGACTAAAATATGCCTTCAAGGTATTGGTGCCCCACAACCTGTCCTCTGTGGTTAGCTTGATGTGCCTTGGGGCTTATTATTTCTGAGATGCTGCTTAAAGAACCTTACATATTTGCCAAAGTTCCTTGTCTATAAATATTAGTGTATAAAAAGAGTGTTCTCTCCATATAGCTCTCTCTAAGGAAATATCTATTTAGAAGAGTGTCTGATCCCATTGCTGTATTTAACTGACCAAGGTATGGACCATATGGCTCCAAAGAACTTGAAAAACTTAGGTAACTTCAGTGACCTGCAGTTCCGCTGACCCCTAGCTACCCAAGAAACATCTACCTGGGATGGGTCCAGATGTTTATAGCATTACAGGAGAAAGCTGCATCTGGGAAGGATCTCCATGGGGCCAGGCTACTGTCAGTGATTTTGGCTGAATCAGATGTGTCTGCCCTTTTGCTGCTGGCACAAAAAGTCATACACATGTTCAAAGCTTCTCAAGGACAAAGTAAGAGAGTGTATAGTACACCAGGAGTTTTTGTGTTTAAAATTGCTTCTTCTTATCCTTAGAATCCACACGGTCTTTGCTTAGAAATCTGGGTGCCCATAAACTTGGATGGGAAAATATATATCTTTATTTTTAGAATATTTTAATGGAAAGTTAGTGTTTTTTTCTATTATGAATATGGACAACAAATAGGACCATTACGCATCTACCAGCTCACAAAGTTCAAAAAAATTTCAAAGGAACCTACATACTAAACAGCTTAACCCCAATTCTGTCTGTACTGTTATGCAAAGGTTTTGGTGGGGGGTAGGGTCACAGTGTATATTAAGGAATTCATGTTGGTACAAATCAGTCTTAATCAAAACTAAGGTAGAAGTTGAATTTCACAAACCTCCTGAACAGTTGCTTGTACATTAACTAGATTCAGGTAGAGAGACAATATTTTAGATGTTGGACACTGCAGAAGAGCTCCCATACTTAGGCCTGAAAGCCACACAAGTTGATGAAGTTCCCTACTGAGGTATAGTTTGCAAAAACTGCTGGGTAAAGGGTCCAAGGAGAAACATACACCGTTTTTTTTGGGGGGAGGGGTGTGTTTCTTGTTTGTTATGTTTTTACTTTTTTTTTTTTCTTTTGAGCTCTTCATGAATTCAGCCCAGATAACTGTATCATTTCACAATGGCGGGAAGACTTTAAATGACTCAGTGAGATGTGAGAACACATCCCTAGAGACCATGCCTGGCCAGAGCTTAGAGGAAGCGAAAACAGGGCAAGGAAACAGGCAGGAGATGCCTGTGAATGAAGGGGTAAAACTGGAAAAGTGATAGTGTGGGAGAGGGAGAAAAACAAGAAAGAAGGCAAATCCTTAAAGTCTAGTTTCAAAACTGCTCTGTGTAAACTCTTGGTTTGGAGAGCAGGAGGGACCAGACAGTCAAATCTTTCCTCTTCCTTTGATATTTGATTCATCTATTGATGCTAAGGTAGCATCTCTTGGTAGAGTTGCCTAAACTCTTCAGGCTGGAAGAACAGCCCCAGACTTGTCAAAAAGGAGAGAAAATTTTGTGGAAATTAATCCATTGTTGAAGTTCAGCCCCTAGTGGGGAGCAATGTATTAAATGAAGAAAATCTCAAAAAATTTGCCAACCATTATACACAAGTTAATTATTGTCTTTTTTTTTTTTTTTTTAATAGAAGGAACCCTCTTACTGACCAAGAGTAGTTTATGTTTGGGGATGTTTGCAGTAATTTATTCAATTCTGAATCAGCATTCCTTGCAATCTGTCCAAACTCACCTCTGCTAATGAGAAAACGAAAGTTTTATTCAATCCTCCAAACTTCTGTTAAAAACCCAAGGCTTTCTCTATTTGGAGGGCATTTTCTGCCGCCAAAAGTAAAGCCTCAAGCACTTAACGCCCAAGTTTTCGGCTATGATGGGCAGGCAGAAGTCGGAGCTAGCGGCCCTTTAAATCTCGGGACGGTACGACTGACCCTAACGGGTGGGAACAGACAAAGGACACTCCCTCCTGTTTATGCCACACTTGACTGGGCCAAAACTAAAGTTTTTTTTTCACCCCCGACCGCCCGCCCGCCCCCCACCTCACCCACCACGGTGGCGCCGGTTGCACCGGACAGTGTCCCGCGGGAGAAGTCCCTGGGCCCTGGGCGCTCTCAGAGCCTGGACCGCGAAACCTGGCCCCCTAAGGGAAGACAGGCAAAGGCTCGGCCCGCGGGCAACAAGTGGCCAGAGCGGAAAGTGGAAATAATCCACTTTCGCAGCGGCTGAAGGCAGGGTACGGTGTTCAGGACCCCAAATCGGTTTTGGAGTCCTGGGCGCGAGGACCTGTCCCTCCCGGCTGCCGGTCTCCCGCCTTTGTATTGGTGACCAGCCAACCGGAGGATCCTGTGCGATTTGTGTTGGAGAGAACCCTTTTAAGAGGGCCTGAGGTGGGTTCGAGGCCAGCCTGGCCCGGGCCAGCACCGCCTCTGGCCCAGTCCCGGCTCTGGTCGGGGCCAGATTCTCCCGTGGAAGGAATGTCTGTCTCTAAGCGCTCCAGGCACGGAGTGGGAGGCGGGGCGGGGGAAGGGGGACGGCCAGGCTAAATGCGAGGAATGTATCGGGGAAGGAGAGGGGGAGAGGGGAAGAAAGGATCCGAGTAGGGAAACAAAGTGTGTCAGGGGGGTTAGGCCAAATAAGAGAGAGAAGGAGGACGCGAAAGAGCAGGAAATGATAAATTTCGGAGAAAGCGAGAAAATAAAATTGGGCGCAAGGAGCCGCAGGGTAGGAGTTTCTCCATTCCCGGCTGACTCGTCTGCAGCCTTGTCCCCTCCCTCTATCCCGACCCCCTTTTCCTCGCGGCTCCTGGGACAACTTCCCAAGCCGACCGCCGTCCCGTAGAACCCAGGGCTGCCTATCAGCCCTCACCGCCCGGGGTACCCTGACGTGCCCAGAGGGCATTACACACAGCGCAACACCCGCTCGCTCCCCGAAGTAGCGGCGAACCGAGGCACACCCCAGCCTCGCTCCCTTCCAGGAGCCGGGAAGCAGGGCTGATCCACCCAGCTTTTGGGAGCGGAGGGGAGGGTGCTACAGGGGAGAGAAAAGAAGTCTGTGCCCGGGTCAGAGCGCATGAGCAGTAGAAGCGTGAACTGCTGTTGCGGGGGTGGGAGTGAGGGAAAGTGTGAGCGTGTGTGTGTGTGTGTGTGTGTGTGTGTGTGTGTGTGGAGAGAGGGGAAAGGGGGAGAGAGGGGAGAGAGGGGAGAGAGGGGAGAGAGGGGAGAGAGGGGAGAGAGGGGAGAGAGAGAGAGAGAGAGAGAGAGACCTCGCGTGCGGCAGGACCTGTCATCGCTGACGTCGGGCCCGGCCGCGGGCCAATCGGCTACCTAGGCGATTGTTTCTCTCGGTGGGCCCCGGCCACGGCCCCGATTTTCTATTCACTTCCTCTTGCGCCCTGCTGCTGCCACTGTAGTGTACGGGATTTCACGCAGCCATTTAAGATCGAGAGAGGGAGAAAAAAAAAATCCCAAACCTCAAACTTGTGTGTGTGTGTGTGGGGACTTTGTACAAGTTGTGTTTTTTTTTTTTTTTGGTGGGGGGGAGGGTTGTCCTTTCTCCTCCCCACTGTCAGGTAACGCTGGCGTGAGCGGCCGGCACAGGGAGCCCCGGGGAGCCCGAGCCTGGGTGAAGCAGGCCGCCCTCGCCCAGCAGAGCAGGGCACTTGAAATTAATATATATGGCTGGGGCGCTTCGGAATCAGCACCACCTCCAACATCACCACTTCTGTCACCTCCATCCCCTGACAGGTCGCCGCAGGGTGTTGTTTGGGGCGCAGGTCAGACCCCTCTTGTGGGGACCCAGTTGCCCACAGACCCACCCTTGCTCCCCACACTGCCCCTCTGTCTTTCCCACCGCCGCCATCCCTCTCCAGCTCATGGCACCGCAGGGGACTCGGCCGAACAGCAGCCCGACCCGACCGCGGCGGAAGCGTTTGGCCTTGCTCTGTCCATCACATTCACGGCTGGCGCCTTCTGGCTCCGAGTCCCAGCGCTGACGGTAGATAGAGACCGTAGTGCCGCTGGGCTGGGCCTGCCCCCCGGGGCCCGAGGGAGTGCGCAGCCCAAGGCACCTGTTCTCACGTGCGCTATTTGTCTCGACAACAGGTAGCATCTCCGGATACCATGGCCCCCAGCTCTCCGCCGCTTCCAGCCCCTCGGTGTTTTCCGGCCTCCACGAGCAACCTCCCCAGGCCTCCCCAGGCCGTCCTTTGAACGGACTCCTGCGTCTGGGGCTTCCCGGAGATATGTACGCGCGGCCCGAGCCCTTCGCGCCGGGGCCAGCGGCCCGCAGCGACGCCTTGGCTGCTGCCGCAGCTCTACACAACTACGGGGGCATGAACCTGACAGTGAACCTCACCGCGCCCCACGGTCCAGGCGCCTTCTTCCGATACATGCGCCAACCCATCAAGCAAGAGCTCATCTGCAAGTGGCTGGCTGCCGACGGCTCTGCTCCCCCGCGCCTCTGCTCCAAAACTTTCAGCACCATGCACGAGCTGGTCACGCACGTCACCGTGGAGCACGTCGGTGGCCCGGAGCAGGCCAACCACATCTGCTTCTGGGAGGAGTGTCCGCGCGAGGGCAAGCCCTTCAAAGCCAAATACAAACTTGTCAATCACATCCGCGTGCACACGGGCGAGAAGCCCTTCCCCTGTCCTTTCCCGGGGTGTGGGAAGGTCTTTGCTAGATCAGAAAATCTCAAAATACACAAACGAACTCACACAGGTCAGTATTCGGCGCTGTCTCGTGCGAACCGTCCGGGGAGAGCAGGTCTTCAGAACAGGATTTCCTCCAGTTCCAAATGAGGGAGCAGAGTGGGGGGTGGAGGGGAAGGGAAATATTTTGGTGCTTTTTCCATGAGCCAAGATCATAGAATTTTTATTATGTTTCTGTTCTTAGAATCAGAGAAGTTCCCAGAGGCTATGTGGAAGGGAAGATAGGGCTTTCTGCTGGGGGGCGGCGGGGGGGGGGGGACAAGGATGAATTCATTCCTCCCCATCCCCCACCCCAGACAGATGTGTGCTTTCTTAGAAAGTTTGATGTTAAGGTATTTCGGAACAGCACTGCTCCCGAAAGTTGTAAAGAGGTATCAAGAATTGTCTCAATTTCTGGTTCCTTTTTGAAAATGTGTGGTGGAGCTCTGACAACCTGACCCTCACCCAGAAGAGGGGATCCTCAGGTCCTTTACTGTCTTTTTGGGGGAATTTGAGCCTCTTACAGGTTAACTTTAGTCCAGTTTTGTGCCTTAAGGGCCTGACACTTAAGGGCATTTGCAGAAGCCTCACTTTTACTTTAGTTGAGACCCAACTAGACCCATCCTCCCTAAAATGTCACTTACTATGGAGCGGTTAAGTGAAATGGGGATGTGTTGTCAACCACATCAGCTAGTTCTAGTTAACAAAAAAATAAAAGGAGGCTCAGCAGGGCCTGCAAAGTTGAGCTCCTCTGGCCAGAGACATCTCTAATGAATGCAGTTGCGAGGAGGAAGTTTTCACACTTCAGAATGGCCTGGGGAAGTTACATTAATTAGTTCAGCAGTCCTTGCTTCCCCTCACCCCCAAGTTGAGCTCCCCGCCCCCACTAGGGCGGCAGGAGAAGAGGACTGGAGGGGAGATGAGAAGACCAAGTCAGTTCTAGCTGGGGTCCACTTCCACGGCCCACTGCCTTGCCCTAGTCTTGCTGGAGCTTCAACCATTGTTAGAGTCAAAGAACTCCCTCAGTCTGGCATTGGGGGGAAGAAGCTGGCTAAATCCTGCCTTTCGGCCTTCAAACTCTTCATTCCCAGGGGAAGGTCCAGGGCTCAGAGACCGGCAATCCAAAAGGACCAGAGTCCACTTTGAGCCTTATACTTAATTTCCGCAGCACGTCTGGAAGTGCATGGCTTCCTGGATCTCTTTCTGGGGTCCCTACCTTTTCTACTGCATCTGCCCCCCCCACCCCCCCCCCACAGTGTTATTCCCCAGGACTGGGGGAACAGATGAGACCTCCATCCCAGTCCGCAGGTCTCCAACGCCAGGAGCTGAAGGCCAGCATCTTGAAGGTAGAGGCGCAGTACCGAGCTGGAGAAGGAACTCATCTTTAATGACAGGTTTTTAAAACAAACTTTTCCTGCTCTTTGCTGGCCCACTGTTTGAAGTCTGTGAAGCAGAAAATGGTTAAATTCTTAGCGCAGTAGACCTACAGCGGAGAATCGAGTCCAGCGCTCCAGGCTGGCTCCGTTTTGCGTCTATTCAGAACAGAAAGCTGGGCGTCCTTTCCGCCCCAGTCCTGACTCATTACCGCTTGAGTTTGTTTTTTGTTCTGTTCTGTTTTGTTTTAAATCTACAGAGCCTTGTCTGCTCCGGCATTCGCTTCAACCCCCTCCACCATCCCCCTTCACCTCTCTCAAGCTATGAAAAGAGAAAGTTAAAAAAAAAAAAAGCAGCAAAATGTTTCTCAAATGGCAATAGACCGCACTACAAATTATTCATGAAGACGGTTCTCGATTCAACAGGAAAATAATTGCCTTTTCAAATATTAATGGCGTTTCGTTTCCTTGAGTCGCGGAAGCGGCGAACAGGAGCAGATTTCTCAGGAGTTGAGATTCTCCCGGATCTGAATCCCGGGCCTGGCTTTGGAAGCGGCAACCCGCGCCGCGAGGTTTCACTTGGCGGCGGTCGCAGCGATGCCGGAACAATGGTGGCGCACGCGGCGAGAGGGGAGCGGGCCCGGCGCCGCGCTCTGCCCCTGCCCCGCCGCCCCGGACGGTCTCTTCGCCTCAGAGTTCTCCCGGTCTTCCCCACAGCCGACAGTCAGTCAGGGATCGCGATCCGAGATAGAAAAGCAGAGAAGGCGCCGGGCCGGAGTCGTCGGGACAGCCAGACCCAGCCACAAGTGCGCGAAGATGGCGCTGGCCCGGCCGCCCCAACGCCTCCGAACTTTGTCAGGCGGGCCTGGCGCGGGGCCCAGAAGGAGGCCTTTCTGGGCTGCGGAGCCTCTGGGAGGAGACTCGGGGCCTTTCACAGCGCAGCCCGGGCGCAGGCCGCTCCAAGCGAGCGGCAGGGGCCTGGCCCAACCCTGCTTTCCTCATTCACCCACCCACCCAAGGCGCAGCGCCGGGTCCTGGGGGAGGGGAAGGGCGGGCGGCTGCGTGTTCGCGGGGGGTTGAGGAGGACGGGGAGGGCTGTCAGGAGAGGCCCCGGCGCCTGATGCAACTGGGGAGCGCGCGGGTGCGCGGCCTCACCTGGCCTCCCAGGGGCCTGCAAACTTCTGGGCTACGAGCATCACCTCACTGCTCCTTTTTTTTTTTTTTTTTCCTCCTCTGGAGCGAAATCATTGTGTCCGACACGAATGTCCAGCAAGGCGTTCACAGGACGGGATAAGTGTGTGGCGGGAATTTTTTTTCCTCCCCTGGGCGGGGGAGGAGGCGATCAACTCAAATTCCATCCCTCCTCTTTTCTCAGAAAAAAAATCTCGGTTCATTTTACAAGCCATGAATTGCATGCTTTTTGTAAGTGATTTTCGAAAGAAAGGCAGGCAAGACGGGCGGGGGGTGGGGGAGGAAAGTTTTGGGTTTGCAGATGCTGGCTGGGATCCGAAGGGAGAAAACAAGGGGCAAATGGGGCCATTGATTTATTCTGTGTCTTTCTCCCACTCTTTCTAAAACGGTGCCGGTGTCCTGAGAAATGGCAGATGCCAGCACGTTCCAGAAGGCCCAGTGCCCTAGCAGTAACCCTGAAGAGGGAGAAAGCTAGCGACAGGGCGGTGCCAGAGCCGGCGGCTCACAAGCTGCTGTCCGCGCGGAGGCGCGGGTTGTGTGCAAACCTCTGGCTCAGCCCGAGCCTCAGCAGGGCTCGAGAATAGGGGCTTTGTTCGTCCAAACTTGCCCCCCAACGCTCTGGAAGCGGTGGGAGAAGCGATCACAAAGGCAGCCGTCCTCCAGCCGTGCCATCTCTCTCCCTCCTTACCCAGGAGCTCGGCAGCGATTTCCTCAACCCCAAGAGCCGCGCAGCACCCATTCGCTTAAAGCACCCAGACACCTCCTTCTCCCCTTTCCACAGCGTTTGCAGCTCCAACAGGAACCTGAGCGTCCGGGTTCTCGAGTACTTCCCCACCCCACACGCCAACGGATTCCGTCGGCAGCGAGCCACCCGATTGGGGCTGGATCCCGCCGTTATTCCCACCCTCGCGCGCTCTCACGCCTTCTCTCGTCTCTACAGAGCATCGCAGCCACGGATCCGAGCCCCTCACAGGTCTACCCGGGCCGCCCACTTGCCCTGCGGTCCACTGAGCTGGACTCGGACCGGCTGCGGCAGCTGCGTTCGTCCCAGAGCCGCCGCGCTCTAGGGCGCGATTGCCCGAGACCTCGCGTCCCGCTTGGCCTGGGAAGATCCTCCTTCGCCAGCCCCCGAATTCAGGCCTGCAGGGCCGGACAGTCGGGCGGGGTTGGCGTACGGAGGCGGGTCCACCTCGCAGTCAGTTTGTAACGCGCGGACCCGCCGCCCAGGGCAGGGTCTCCGGGAGGCCGCTGGTGCAGCGTAATAAAACATTATTGCCTACGCTCGTATCTGGAGGGATCCCGGACGGTTTAGGCAAGATTTGAAGAATGCTGCTAAATGTTTGCCCCCAGGGGGTAGAAGGGAAGGGGGAGGAGGCTCCATTTCCTGTAAAAATCGCCCCTGACGTGAATCATTGCTCAGAATACCTTTCCCTGCAGCACAGATCCGCATTACGCACACGCCGTATGCACTGGTTGAGCATTCCCTTAAATTATTTCTTCTCCTTGGCACAAAACACACTTTAGGAAACAATTTGGACGGGGATGAGGTGTGTGAGGGGAGGACCCTGGGCGGGTGACGGGGCAGAGAAGACGTTTGGCTGGAACTGCCACTTTCAATGCAGCAGATGTGAGCTCCTCAGTCAGATGTAGTCTGCGGGCAGAAGTGCTTCTGGCTCCGAGTCGGTAAATTTCGGAGGAAAACGGCCCTAGTGTATCAGGATTTTCGAGAATGGAAACTCAACTAAGATGGAGTCTTCGTTGCTCCTCCTCCGTACCCTCCCCTTAGGTCCAGGCGGGAGAGGGGGGAGGGGAGCAGGCGTGCAGGCAGGGGCGCGGGGGCGCGCTCTGGGCGGGAGAAGGGGGTGCGGGATCTCAGGCATGAGGAAAGGGATTTCTGAAAATCTGTTTGTGGTTCCTTTGCAGAAAATGAAATAGGGATGGGGGTGGGGGGAGGCGAGAGCGAGCGGGGGACTCTGTCCACGCGCACTAACGTCTCTGCGTTGCCTCCGCCAGGCGAGAAACCTTTCAGGTGCGAGTTCGAGGGCTGCGAGCGGCGCTTCGCCAACAGCAGCGACCGCAAGAAGCATTCGCACGTGCACACGAGCGACAAGCCCTACACGTGCAAGGTGCGCGGCTGCGACAAGTGCTACACGCATCCCAGCTCGCTGCGTAAGCACATGAAGGTGCACGGGCGCTCGCCGCCGCCGCCCAGCTCTGGCTACGACTCGGCTACGCCGTCTGCTCTCGTGTCGCCCTCCTCAGACTGCGGCCACGAGACTCCGGCGGCCTCCTCCGCGGCGGTGGCGGCGCGTGGCACCGACCTGAGAGAATGGTACGTGTGTCAGGGCGCTGGCCCTGCCGCGGCTGCCCCTGCCGCACCCCCAAGCCCTGAGCCACCACCTGGCCCCGCCGCGGCCTCCGCTGTCAGGGCTGTTTCTGTGGCTGCTGCTTCGGCGTACAAAACTGCCCGGCTAGGCCTGGCTACCGAAGCGAAGAAGGAAGGAAAAAAAGGGGAAAAAAAGGCAGGCAAACAGGCCGAGAATCACAAATAGTAGCTAGAGATAACGAAATATGCTGGTAGAATGTCCACTCCACCAAAGTCAGCCCTCCCACCCTCGCGCCGGCTCTCTTGACTGGGTGGCGAGAAGCCAGTGTTGGGGATAAAGAGAGAGGCAAATGCAAACAAACAAATAAAACCGCACACATTAAGAATGTATGTGTAATCCTGGCAACCGCAGGTGGCAAAAGTAAGGCCGCGCCGCCCCCGAGAGGCTCACAGAATGGGAAATCCTTTCCTCGAGACTCTATCCTCCACTTCCTTCCCAGCTTGCAGTGGGAACCCCCCTCTCCTCCCTCCTCCCCTCTCCCATCAATTCCCACTATGAAATTCGGATCGAGAAAGGTGGAGGGGAATTCCAGGACCGGTTTCCTGCCCGTTTTTCTTTGCACTTTTGCTTCCTTAAAACATCTCGTTCCCCAGCTATCTTTGGAAACAAAACACCCAAAAACACCCAAGCGTTAAATTTTCCAACCCTTTCTGTAACAGGAGGTAAGGAAGGGTAGAGTCATCCCCTTCTCCTGGGAGGGGGGAATCACATGTCCTTAGCCCCACGGACAGGCCTAGGAGCACAGATAGGTCTGTCTGCCAGTTTGTCCCAGGACTGGGCTTACTTTGTGCACTGGGGTAGGGGGTGAGTCCAAAACAACAGGAAGTTCAGACAAAAGAGGGCCAAAGAGGCTTCAGGATTCAAAGCAGTGAAAGCAGTGAGGTCTCCGGAGACTTGTTTCCCACTCCTCACCCTTGTCCAGACCCTTCCTGTTGAATGTTGTGGGTGCCTGGGCTGGGGGTGGTGGTGCTGTATGTGCAGCGCTGGTGATGTCACTGAGCCCAAGCCTCCAGAGCCGAGGGGGTCTGACCCAGGCGACTGTGTCTGGATCAATCATATCAATTCTGTCATGGTCTTTGTAAAAAAAAAAAAAAAAATCACACAATGTTGATCTTATTTTTAAAGAGTAAGAGAAATGAACTGCATTAATAAATATTATGAAGGCAAACACCCAACGGGTCAAGATTGAATGTGTATTTGATACCTGAGTGTGAAGGTCCTAGAAAAAGAAACCAGATGTTGGGGGCCGGGGAGAAGATCTTCGCAGTTGTTGCCCAAGGGCGGGGATCAGGACCTGTTACCTAGTCTGCCAAGCTCCTCCGGGAGGATGGGACTGCCCCAATTCCTAGCTAAGAGTTGATGGGGGAGAAGAAAAAGAAAATAAAAAAGATTAAACTTGGTTGGAAACACTCCATTTTCCTAAGAATTTGAAAATGAACGACTGTGGGGAGATAGTTCCCAGGGGAGGAAACCTCCTAAGGAGCTCGATTTTAAAAGCTGAGCCCAGCTAACAAGTCCCGGCCCTGCCACTCACTCTGCTGGGTTCTTCTTCCGCTCTCTATTCTTCACACCCAGTTAGAGGATTCCCACTCTTGCGCCTCAGCCCCCATCGCTGCGCTAAATGGTAACGTCCTAACTGGAGTGGGACTGTTTTCCTTTCCCCTAGTGAAAACTAGAATCTCCCGAATCTATCCCTAGAGAACGTGTTGAGGAACGAAGGTTGCAACCTCCTCCACTTCCCACTACACTAAGGCCTAGCTCGGCAGTAGGCAGCCAACGACCCCTTCCCGTCTCGAAACATCAGCCCCACGGCCAAGATGCAGAGGGCATCTGAGGCACTTGCTACTTCCGTCGTTGTTTAAAAAGTGCCCTCGTCTCAACGGGACTCGTTTCTTTCTCTCCTGTCTCTAGCCCTTCCCCCTCCCCGGTCCCCCCCCCCCCCAATCCCATTTTGCCTTCTACCCCAATCCAAGGTAATGAAATAAAATAAAAATGTTTGGCTGGCCACTAATCGCCTTTAATTTTTCATTTGCTTGTTACAGATGTCCACCGCGTTGCTCGCAAGGTAATCTCGCCCTGCGCAGCTGAGCGCCCGCATCTCGCGCCCGCGACATCAAAGGGCCCGCGCACAAAGCAGCGTTTCTTCGCCACGGTGCATCTTCATGGTAAGTTAGGATTTCTATGGCAATGGGCAAGTCGCACTGAAATCCTGAAAGGCCGAGCCTGGAGCCCGTCCAGGCTTTTCATTAAGGACATAATATTTACGTCTAACAGGCCTTTTTTCTTGTGTATACAAGTATATATTTTTGTTTGACGCGGACTAAATCATTTTCATTTAATTTCCGGTAAACAAAACCCACGCGAATGGGCACTTGTTCCCGATCATAATAAAAATGGATAATAATGTGAGAGAAGAAAAAGGCCGCTTGAATCGCCGCTCAGCCCCCTTTGTTTCTGCTTTCTGCGGTGATCAGAGGGCGCATTTGGGTTTGATGGCGAGTTTCTAAAGGCGAGGAAATGGTTTGTAAGAGGGGAAAGAAAAGGAGAAAGGTCTAATCAAGCTCGGGTTGTTCAAAGAGTCGGGTTTTGGGGTTGAAAGTGTGAGTTTGACGGTGCATCAGCATGCCGCGTTAGGCTCGCCATGGAAATGCGCTGGGGGGGGCGGCCGCTTCAAAGGCGGCACACTTCACTGCAGACACTCTATTAAGATACATTTGCGCTGACCTTTGCTTTCACGCTATTTAATACTGTCACTGTGCTCTCCAGTATATACTTCCTCCCTAGGACCTGCCTCGCCCGCCTTTAGGGGTTCACCCTGCACCCTGACGTGGGGGCCTTTGGCTCCCAGGACGCTTTCAGGAAAGGGAGGAGCCGGACTCCTGTGCATCTTGACTGAGCCCCAAAGAGTTTCAGGGTCAGGAGTAAATTACTTTAGGGCAGCCTCAAATGCTTAACAAATGAGCACACGTCTCCTCCACCCTTCCAGCTCTGTTTCCTTTAAGCACCTCTCTAAATCTAGAGCAAGATGCAGATTTGAATTTGATGGGAAGTGTTGGGGGGTGGTGGAGAACCACCTGGGGAAGTGTGAGGAGGTGTGAAGAGTTCACACTATGCTCTTGGGATATTTCCAGTCCAGTTCCCAGCACTGCTCTCTGCCCCATCCATCCCAGGAGTCTTTTGCAATACCCCCAACTTGTTTCTCAACACAGAAGAGTGTGTGGTACCCTCAGGCCTGGACTGGCCCTGGGCACAAACTCAAGGGCCCAAGGCCAAGGGGATGGGGAAGATGGCAGGAAAGTTAGAAGTCCATGTTCCCTTAATTGTCTTGTTGTTTATTTTATCCAAGTACCCCAGTGAATAGGGGAAAAATAAACATGGTGGAAAAAAAATCAAACAGTGGAGTCTTCTTTAGTGCCAGTCCTTGTGGTTGAATAAAAAGGATGGTCCGCTTTCTATTGAGCTGAGAAATCTTTGAAGTGGGAGTTATTATCTGAGACATTCCTGCTTGTCGTCCTAACAACGCTGATGAAACGTAAAAGGTTCTTTGTCAGCGATTTGTTCTCCTCTCTGTCAAACTCCCTCTGCCCCGTTAGTTTTAAACCGTTTCTAAAGAGATAAAAATCAAACTTCTTAAAAAAAAAAAAAAGATACCCACACATATAGGAGTGGATAACTTCAGGGCTAGGTCTTGCTAGGGGTAAAACAAAAGCAATGCCTGGACAAGAGGTCAGGCCCTAGCGAAGTGTGCAGATGTTGGGGAGCCCTTTGCACATCTCTAAGATGGGGCGGGTGGGGTGGGAGGAGAGTGCAGAAGGGTAAGGCAGAGGGTACATACCCCAAGTCCATACTTGTGTGTCTGCTTCATACTGCTCTGGCCTGCTTTCAATCAGTTCAAGTGGGATCACCTGGACGGCTTCTTGCAGCAGCCCCTCAGGCTCCCAGGGATCCTTGGAACCTAGGGCTAACCCCAAGGTGATTGTTAATATTTCCTGCTCCCTCAAACGCACCTCTGCTAAAAATAGACTCATTGTGTGATTCTTCCCAACAGCAGTAATCAGCAAGCTCTTTTTGCCTTTAATGGAAAGGAGAGTGGCTTGAGGGAGAGAGAGACATTGTAATAAGTTCCTGTTTGTTTCAGAATCTTGACAGTTGGGGTTTGGAAGGTTTGGGCTACAAGAAAGCGAACCCAAAGTGCATGCAAATGTCCATCCTTCCCGCACACTTCCTTCCCACCACCCCTCAACCACAGGTGCAGTTCTTCATTTTATATTGTGCCCAGGAAAGAAACCTTCACCCTGTCCAGGTTTCCCCATACCTCCTGTTGTGGTTTTAAAAGTGGTTTAAACAAACAAGGATGTGCTGGTCCCCCCCACCCTGTGTGTGCTGACTAAATGATTTGTAAAGAAGTTTCCCCGAGCTGTAACCCATGCTGTTATTATAGTTGCTGCAAAATGTTGTCTCCTATATTGATTTTATTTGTTTACTGGAGGTCTCCATATGTTTGTTTATATCACTAATTTATGGGAAAATGTAATGATTGCAATGAATGTGAATTATACAGACAGGCAAACGTTTTGTAATCATAATTCACACACACACAAAAGCTTGACTGAAACCTTAGACTATTTGGTAGCCTCTCTGCCCTCACTGTTTGTGATTTATCATCTGTCCCTTTAGCATCAGTTCCATTATGAATTAACTTGAAAGGAAAAAAAAAGTTGTTACGTATTTGCAAATGATTGCTGAATGAATAACAAAATTGAAAACTGAGGATTAATCTTGTAACTATGTAAATGTAAATGAAATAAAATCTGTGATTCCTTTTCCTCCAAAGGCTTTTGTGTACCTGGAGCTCCATTTTGCTATTTTCTTCTGAAATAAATGATGTGATGTTTTTCCTTCCTCTTTTGATTCTGGGTGTCCTATTATTGCATCCCTACCACAAGACTCTCCATTTTCTTCATGGCTTGATGGAAGCATCTCTGGGGTCCAGGGAGCAGAATAGAAGGATCCCCAAAATGTCCATCACGGGAGAGACCTCCTTTGGCCTAATTTCACCCCAGTGACACTGACATCATGAGATGATTTCTGTTATGCAAGAAGGAAAAAGCGGAATTCTGGGAAACACTGCCTTCATGCCGCCCCTGGCTCCGTGCACACTCTCACAAACCACTTCTGAATTCCCAGAGAAAAGCCTGGCAGAAACCAAACAGGGAAAGAAAAAAAGCGGGACAGAATGGCTCCAAGCCCTGCTTAAGCTCTGATGCCCTGCCTGGGCTCAGTTGTCCTCAAGAATCTTCCTAGCTGGATGCTGCCTCCTCAGGCCCCAGGGATCCCTGCACAGAGCTGCGAAGCGCATAGCTTTGAGACTGGGAGGCATAGCCTATAGGTCTCTATCTTGCACCCCAGTCGGATTTTCGGTGGGTTTTAGCATTGTTGCATGTGCCCTCTTCTCTGCCCAATCACTGGGGGACTTGAAAGTGTCAGAATCACAAGACCCATCCTCCCTCCTCCAGCAGCCATTGCCTTCCTAGACACACGCGTCCCTCCTTCCCCCACGCCCACTACGCAGACGCTACACCTTGCTCCTTCTCTCCACTCCTGAGAAGTTGGTGTGAGGGGCTGGGGCCCTGGACCGGGTTTGAGGACGAGAGTGCCTAAGCTGGAAATGCTAGGTCTCTTTAGAGAGCCCCTTGGAGAATTAGCGTATAGAGTGAGGGCTGAGGTCCAGGAGAAGAAGCTGCGGAAGGGACTCCAGCGCGCAAAAGCCGAAGGCCCGGCTGTGGAAAGGCGGCTGCGAGCTGAGAGAGAGTGGGAAAGCCGCAGCGAGGAGGCAGCCCCCCTCCCCGCCCCTCCCACCCCAGGGTCTCGTCCTCAGGCTCAGGGACAGCAGCGGGTTGGTGGTGAGGCGCCTCTCCAGTGGCTCAGGTCTCTTCGACTAGGTTGCATGGAGAGGGCACTCTTGAAAGTCCTTTTCGCCGACAGAAGCGCTGTGGTAGGAACCAAGTGGGGACTCTGCATTGAAGCCTGCACCTCTGGGGCTCGGAGCGCTTGGCTCGATCTTGCTGCTTAGAGTCCCTCCCTGCGACAGCCAGGGACTCCACAGGGGATCCCAACCCTTCACTGGCACCTCCCATTGCGCCCAGGAAAGCGCCGTGAAGACACCTCCAAGTGGCGAGAGGGCTGCCCCTGACGCTCCACGCCGGGGTTTTGGGGAAGGAAAGTCTGCCTCTGAACCTTCCGAGTCCACACCTGTGGCGATGGGGTCCAGGGGTCCAGGAGAGGGAAAAAAAGCAAAGCGCTCAAGCACCCAGCTGCCGGCAGGGCTTAGACTGCCTTCAAACCTTTTATTTTGTATTTTTGGCGGGGTTGAATGGTGTCACCTTTGACAGAGCCTCGAACTCACTGGTCCCCAAGTGCCCATGGCTCACCTCACCCTGTGTTCGGCTCAGTGTCCTCTGGGAAAGTTACTCACCTCCCATCTTGCCAGTGGCACTGAGGGGGAAGCTAGGGGACACCTAAACCTGTTATTGATCCTAAATATGCCCTATCTCCCCCCTTCACGATTCCACATTTAAGTGCAAGGTAAAAACAGAGTGAGTGGTGAGAAGACCTTGGAATGGGGAGTCATTCCATTTACACTGCTTGTCCATCTGCAGACCCTGTGCCCCGGAATGAGAAAGGAAGCCCCCTGTACTTCAGGTTCCACCAGTGTAAAATAAAACGATATTTCCCCCTTTTAAAAAATGTTTTATTATCTTTCACGAGTTTGTTTTGTTTAAATAAGATACTCCCTGAAATATTTAGAATCCAAACGCTAGTTGTTGCTATATGTAGTCATCTGGCAACCTCACTAAATCAGATGACTATCTGTAGGCTCCTCTAGCCAATCATAGAGTCCCTCAGAGGCTCCAGGCACTACAACCATTTGTGTTTCCTTCAGGCACCCCAAGAAGAGCTGAACATCCTCACCCTCTTGCCATATGAACTTACTCTTAGAGTTCCAGCGCCCAATGCATCCAGGCACTATGGCAGAGATATAATCTGTTTTTTAAGGGCCAAAGAAAAACTGGAAGTAGAGTTTATTTCAGTACAGAACAAAGCTGAAGAAACTGATTGCCTTAATGTCACCCATATGATTTGTGAAGATTCTGGCGTTGTAGTAAATTCCATGGCTCGCTTAGCCCAGATGTTGAGTTAATTTTGTTATAAGTCTCTGCAGTTTCTTAGTTCCCTGTTGGGCTTCTCAAGGCTTAGGTGATAGGGCATGTGGGGAGTGAGCAAGGGCATTTGGGAGGCTGAGGACTGGGCTTTTTGGGGAAAAAACATACACACATACACACACACTCACACACAAGAAAAGTACAATTTTCCCAGGAATACATCAGGATCATTTCCACAATAATGATTTTCTCTTTACTAAATGCTCATTCCAGGAAAATTGCCAACAATTCGATCAACAAGTTATCGAGAATTCCACATCAACACTGGTGACAACCAGTGGTCAGCAACTTCCTGTCTGAACCTCAGATCAGCATTGCATTTTCACCCAAATCTCTGCAATGAAGAAAATAAGTGTTTTTTTTTTTTTTCTTCTTCTAGGAATGTTATCAAGCTTAGATCCTAAAGTCATTCAGGAAAAAGAGTAATTCAGAAGACAATTAGGGGAGGTCTTGGGTTGTGGCCCGGTATCACTCAGAGGCTTTGCAAACATCCAAGCAGCTGCATGGAAAAGAAAGAAAAAATACCCTGGAATACAGGTTAATCTAGTGTAAACATGACTAGGGAGATGGACTTTGAAACTTGCTGGGTACCTTTTGCTTCTTTAGAGCCAGTGTACACTCTCAATGAGCCAAAATGCAATGGCAGGATATTGATCAATTCAAAACAAGATGAGCAGAGGTGTACATGGTTCTCAACCTCACAGTGATAGACAACCTTAGCAGATGTCTACAGAGGGAATAAACCAAAAGTAGGCAATTCTGTACTGGCTGTGCCATGTAGTTGTTGAATGATGGAAAAAATAAAGAAAAATAGTCCACCAACAATGTCACCACACAATTTATGTAGAATCAGGAAAATGACTCAATTTTCTCTCATCTGTGACAGTAGGCTCTCCAATGCAAGATTAGATTAGCCAGATGAGCCTGGTCTTCTTTGCCAAAAGTAGGAGAAACTTCAGACAGCTAAAGGTCCTTGACTTGTGCCATTGCTTAGTATTTAATAGAGGGAGATCTCTAGCTTTTGTACTCACCAATGCATTCATTAAGTGTTCAAAAAACACACCCAGCATCCTGGTGGAAGGTGTTTTACCTGAAATGTGCACATTTCTATATCATGAAACATAGGCTTCAGCCCTTTTTAAGATTTGCTAACTTAGTTCCTCTGAGAAGTGAGAAGTTGCCTGATACATGTAAGCAATCCTAACCTCAACACAGCCACTTTCACCTGAGAAAATGAAAATGTTTTAAATATATCTAAAAATGTTCCCTACATTTTCTGCCATTGCATCTAGTGAATAAAGAACCAGTACTGAAAAGCTTTCCATTATCAGGAAAAACCTGCTGATTTTCTTTAAAAATAAAAAAGAAAGTAAAACTGTTGTAGAAAAACTGCCTTTTCTAAGTGTGGAATATCATTGCATTGTAAAAAGTAAAAAAAAAAAAAAAAAAAGTGGTAATCCAACTTCCGGAAACTGTTCTGAATTATTTCACCAGACCCTTTTAAAAGGGGATTAGCAAGGCTTTGGGAGCAAAATCCTTCTGTTTTATTCAACCTCTGATTTTATGTTATAATTACTGGCTGTAAAGGTTCTGGAATTAGTATGCAGGCACCGTCAGGACACAACGCAGGTGCTATTCTAATGGTTCAGCTTTTTAATTAAGAAAAGAGGTAAGAAAATTGAATCATAAAAACACTTTTGTGAGAGCTGAGAACATTGCAGCCACCGCGTGAATAAAGCCTTTATACCTTCTCCTGACAGGTCGGCTACTGAGGCGCTGACTTACGACCTTTTCAGGGCAGACAATAGTTAATAGCTTTCTCACCTTGTCCCCACAGAACCTTTTCTTCTAGCTGGGATCGTATGGAAATTGCCTTAAGTAGCTTGATTTCCACAAAAGATACTGCAGTTAGAATGGATACAAATCCACATGGAAATGCCTGATCTTGGGTCCTAGCTATACATCTCTTGTTCTCTGGATCCCTTCTCCTAGGTGGCTGGAAGAATGGATGGGAGAGCAAATAGCCTTGCAGGGGCATACAGGACCAAGGTCAAGGTGGATTCCCCCACCTCCACCCATCTCTGGGAAAACAAAGGGAAATCTGCGAAGAAACCTTAGCTTGGGCTGCAGGTAGATGTGGGCTTTTCTGAAATAGGCTGATCTTGGAGGAAGTTTGACCTGCATACTTCTTCCATAACCCTCCTGGAGGCCCCCATCGGAGTGCGTGTGCCTTCAGTTCTCCAGTTACTCCCAAATGATCCTCACCTGTGAGGAAAATTGTCTGCCCACACCACCTCAAGACAAGTTCCCAACTCGGGCTCCACGACAAACTGGAGCCACCCGCAGCGTTCAGATTCGCACCTGTCAGACCTGCTCCAGACCGTGGAGTCCCCACTACTCTACTCCAGGCTTTGCCAAAGTGTAGGGCCAGGAGTTGAAATCCCAGGGAGGCGCCCATCTGTCTTCCTAGGGCCTCGGTGGAAGGTCCATCCGTCACGTTTTCGTCCAGGCCCGACGTGGCGCTTGCTGGGGACCTGCTCCATGGTTAGCAGCCACAGTCCTTGCCCTTCCTGAGGACGCAGGGGCACGCCTGGGCTGGGGCCGGGAACAATGCAAGTATTAGGATATCAGCCGCCCTCGCAATGATCATGCGTTCAACGATTTTGTTTTCACGGCTGAGGGGACTTT